AGATGTTGCAAAATAAAAGTTCTCAGCACAACGAAGCCTAGAAATAAGTAGTAGTGTTCAATTTTTGAAAAAGATTTTTGTCCAAAAAACAAAGTATTAGACAAATTTACTTTTCCTTTTCAAAAATCTACTTGCTTCCTCACCATTTCACAAAATGGAACATAGCTTTTAGGATTTTTATTAAGCAATGAAAAATTGCTATGCTCATCTAGTCTGCAGCAGAGAGGTCAAACTTAAAAAAAACAGCATAAGAGATAATGAAGATAACAGCACAGGCAAACAGGCCCAAAATATATTTATTTATTTATTTTTTCTTCATATTATACTTATATTTACATACAATGTTATCATACTTTTCTGTTTTTGTGCAACCCAGTTTCTTTACAGTAGCTACAAATCCTATGTCAGACTAGCTTTTTAAGTTCATTTACTTTAGAAATTAATTTGACAGAAAGCTGTATATTCCACCTTGATTTCTATCAGCCTTTGGTTTTACTTCTGTTTTTGCTCCCATTTTGCTTATCCAATTTTACATGCTAGAATATATTTAGATACTGAATTATCTATACTTGCCCGTTTCCTTACACACTTATTTACTGCAACATTAATTTCTTGACGACCTAATACTATGACACTGTTTTTCAATCACCATGCTAAAGTTATAGGTTGGGGGTCTCAAACGCATTTATTCATATCAAGGGAGCCTCAGATTAAAAGAGTTTTGGAACAACTGCTCTATGCTATTCTACCTAACTATCACTTTGAGTTTAGGCAGAAAGGTAAGCACCAGTTGACAGTGGGGAGGAACAGTGGTAGGTGTGAGAAGTAAGTACCTGTCTGAAATACATTTTCAGTGAAGGAAAATTATAGCTTCTGACAAGGTACCTTACTCTGCTCATATACATAGCTAGAATCCCACATTGAAAACATATGTGGAAGGGACCAGTGTGGGGGAGAAAGTAAAAGCATCCTTCGAAAGCATCCGAAGGACACCTCTCTAATAAGAAGATTATATGTGGGAGACTGCACCACTTCTGTACCAGGTATACTCTTTGCCCATATGTGGAAAGAGTATGGACAGATCAAGGCAGAAAATTTGTAAGGAGCACATCCCATCGGAGAAAAAAACAGTTGGACAGTAATCCTAAACACAATATATTCTAATTTCAATCTCTCAATGAATAGAATGTGGATAAAATAAGGATGTGCCCCAAGATGTAGAGTGGCTTGGGTATGACGAACCATACACAGCAAGTCAACTGGGTCCAAAACTCGACCGCTGGGAAGCAACATCAATGTGGGGGTAGGATGATGATCATACTATCGGTAAGTCCACTACAATCCAAATCTCAACTTCTGAGAACCAACATACATGCAGATGTAGGAAAGAGGATCATACCATCTTCACCTCAAGTTCAGCTGATAGGAGGGAGAAATCCCACTCAAAACAAACAAGACCAGAACCACCCCAAACACAGCAACATCCTCTGCATAAAGACATTGGTGAGTAGTGCAAGAGGAAGAAGTGAAGCAACCAACAAGTGCACCCACTGTGACTCACCACACTGGGGTAGTGCACTCGAGGTGAATTGAGTGAGGGACCAGGGGCACCCTGAACATGTGTGAGGACTTATGTTGATTAGTTCAGCTCTAAGTCCAAAATTCAACCTCAAGGAACTGACATCCATGCAGCGGTAGGATGAGGGATTCCAATCACACTACATATGTGAGGACATGATGTTGGTTGGTTCAGCTCTAAATCCAAAACTCAACTGCTGGGAACTGACTTCCATGCAGGGTAGGATAAGGGATCCCAATCCTTATGATGGCACATTTCAAAGCTACAACATCCCCTTGGACAAACCCATGCAGAAATAGAGCATTCACTTGTAGGACATCTCATCATCTACACCAGCAGAACACCACTGCCCTACTCCCAACTGAATGGAGTATTTATTGTTTATATTGTATATCTCTCATTCAGGAGGATACCTCCATGGTCCACCACCCCAGCAGCTTAAAACTGGAAAGTGGTAATAACTCTCTTACTCCACTGGAAGAAATGGAGGGGGGATGCGATGGAGAGTCCAGAGGAACATTCACACCAGAGACAGTGCAATGGGTGACCACGAAACCCTATTTTGAAAAGCAGACCAAACCCAATTTATTCAATCTAAGGAATGGGCAGCAATCCCCTTCTGCTTTACCTATGAAATCCATGGGTTAGTATGGTCCAGAATGGGCATATTTATGAAACAAAGATATCACAAGGAATAACCTCTGATTGATCTTGTGGAATACCCCAACTCTAATTTATGTGATTATAAGGAAAATTGTGCATTTTGAGGCCATGGAAATTATGAAAGCAAAGTCAACATGACCTTACAGTGCAGGTTTTAGTACAATTCTAAGTGATTGAAGTATACCTGGACAGGCATTGCTTGCCACAGAGCAGGATCCTAGACAAAACATGGGACAAGCCCCTGAAAAATAATATATATATAACTAAAGAAAGAAAACTTACCCAGTTACAGTCTCACTGACGAGTGAAGAATAGCAACAAGTGGAAAACAGTACCCCAATGAGGAAGAAACAGCTACCCAAAGCAGATAATGGAAGATGAACATATGAGGTTTAGTCCCAGTGCTCAACAGATGAAGTACCTCCAATGGACAACAGGGTTTAAATACAGGTAAAAGGTAAGGTGCCTGAATGGAGTGAAGACACCAAGACTTGATTATGGGAAGAAGGAGACAAGGAATAAATGGGCAATCGAATCACAAGCTGAACCTAATGGGTAAGGGAAGAAGATAAAAAAATCACAAACAGAGGGAATGAGACTGCGGGAAATGGAGCCAACTGACAGAAGCTTTAAAAGCAATGAAGCAACCTAGAGAAGGTCACCCGAATCCAACCAAGAATAAAGGAGGAAGATGGCAAGAAATAAAAATGATGAAAAGAATATTCCAAATGAGCCCTCAAAATGTAGGTTAGTAAAATCGATCCAGAACAAAAAGAACATATCGAGCCAAAAATTCAGATCTGTACTGGCTAAGAATGATCAGTTAGAAAGACCAGACCCGGAGTGACATGCATGATCAAAATCACCTTGGAAAGTAGACTGACGGAATGAGAAAAACTAAAGTTATAAATTGTATCTAATCCTGTCTGATTGTATCGACAGCCAGAGCGAGTGGATCATGAACCTGAAAACAAAGAAGTAACTTAGAATTGAGGAGTACCCCACAGGAAGCAGAGCCATCAAAAATTCAAGAATAGAGAGGCCACTTCTTGGGAGAAAGTGTGTTGGGAATGGAAAGGTGATCTGCAACGAGGATGAAAGCACCTGGAACATGACACTCCAGGATATGTATGTCAAGTCATATTAAACAAGGAAGCTGGCCCAGGTCTAGAAATAACAAAGTACTGGACAGATATGTTATAGCTCTGGGTAGTTTAAGTCTAGATGGCATTGTAGTATGTAAATGATTATGTGGATATATAAGTCCCAACCTTGATTTTACCATTACTCCTGAAGATGGTGTCATACATAGACACGAAAATATATGTAGAGTCATTTTAGGGCAAGTTCCTGTTTTTAATAACTATTTATTGTGTAAAATTTTAAAGTTGTATTCCTTTTAACTGTAAACAATAGGAGGACAAAACTGATGCCAAATAGTCCAAACCCTTCAAAAAAAAGGCAAGGGAAATTCCAAACATAGGAATCGTGAAAGAAAATTAAGAATGACTAAAACTGAAAATATAAGAATCAGATAGACAGGGAAGGGGAGGACTAAGGTTGTAGGAATGTAGTTAGTCAAGGAAAATGTAAACAAAAATTAGTGAGGGTTAGGACTAAGAAGCAGAGAACAAAAAGAATAATATGACATAGGGAAAAAGAGAAAGAATTGGTATATACCAGTGAAGTTAAGTCTTGATAATGCAAAAAAGTTTAAGGGTTCTCTTCAACAGGGAAAGAAGTTCCCAAAGCATATCCAGAAGGAGGAAACAATGAAATTTGTACTTCTCATTCTCTCTCTCCAAACGAGGAGAAGGAACACCTGAAGAAAGAACTGGAGATGAAGGTGCTAGCTGCATAAGGGAACCCACTACCCTATGCACAATGGCTGTAACATCATCTTCAGTCAATGTGCCTCCATAAGCCATAATTGATACATAATCTGTGTGAGGAAATTATTCACTCACAGAAGTAGTAGAAGATGTTACATCAATAAGAAGAAAAAAAGAAGGAAATAAAGTTCCTTAAACATTGCAAATCTTGTTAAATTGAAAAAGAAAAAACCCATCTGATGTGTTCAGTGCCAAGATTCATGAGTCCAAAAGCATAGAGGAAGTTAACATGCAAGAATTATGCAGTAGCACAATTCACAAGATTAGGTAGGAGTTGTCTAAAGCCTAGTGCTATGCAACTCTCTAAGACAGATGCATGGGGAAAGAAAGCTTAACTGTGTGAAAAGGTGTATCATCTCAGAATTCAATATTTTATATAACTCCCAAATACTCAAGAACAAAAATTTATGATATAAATGATGAAATGATGCAATGGAGTATTGTGAATCAGCTCATTGTTCACTCAAATGTACAGTAACATGATTTGATAAGAGGAAAAGATATATAAAATATCGAAACAGCTTTCAACACTATCATAACTGAATTTATTGTGCAACATTTTAGCTACTTAACATGAAGTAAGCCTACAGCTGAAAGGTGTACAGTTAAGGAATTTATAATGAGTGTGTTAAAAGCTGTTTCAGTTGTTTTGTCATTTCTTTTCTCAATAAATTATGACTACTGCCCTTAAACAAGTGCTATCTTCATTAAATACAGTAGCATATTTGAATAAGTGTTCAACGTAAGTTAATTTATGATAAGATTTTTGCAAATGGTAAAATGGCTACAAATGAATTCAAAATTGTCTAATCATAACTGATAGGAACAAATTTTTATTTCAAAACATAAACTGCACTGAGACTTACCAAAGTGATACCTCCACAGGTCATTTAACACAGTTACACCTCGTTCTCCTCCGAAGACATACATGTGCCCCAAGGATTTTACAGCTGAGTGGTTATGTAGGACTCCTGGTCCTTTATTTGTTCGTAGTCTTGACCACTTTAGTGATGCTTATTAAATCAAACAAAATAACTACATTATAATTCACAATACACAAAAAACAAATACAAACCTGGGTTGCAATAAAATTTTCATAGTTCTATATTTCTATAACATATTTAAATACTAACTGAATTACCCATCTACTGGACAGATGAAACAAAACCTTATTTGTAACAAAGGACAGGAAATTGTGCTTCTATCTTTCTTTCTTAACATAATAAATATTAAAAGTAGAATAAAAATACTTAAAGGTACCAATACTGAAAAGAAAGACATACTGTTTTCAAGAATTCTATCAATATGACCTTCCCCTCATACAATTTCCTATCTTTTGTTATAAACAAGTTTTATTTCACCTGACCAATGGATGGGTACTCCAGCCAGTAATTTTATATTTTGTGGATATATCAGAGATGAAGAAGCAACTACAATAAAAAGCATAGCATGGCATAATTTAATAATTAAAGGATTATACATTCTGCACAATTACGATTAATTAAATGAACTAGGTACAACATAGCAATTCTCTCTTTCCAGAGTTTTCCGATAAAATTCTTGTTACATATCAGATACATAAAGCTTTAATGATATCTGAACAAAATATGTATAAGGGTTTCACTAGAATTTTAGGTTTATGTTGATATTCCACATGGGTTCATTACCATGCAATGAAATATTCACTTGTAACATCTTTATTTAATATTTTTCATTTCTTTAAGTTTTTACATGGCAAGATTTGCATTTAAATGCATGTTATTCAAAATTAACATATCGTTAAGACTTTGTTTTATCTTAAACATTATGATTTGGAATTTTAGTTAACATTAAAACACACAAGTGAATTAATATTAAATATTAGTAATGTGTGAAAAATAAAATATTCTGTTGTCACTCACCACCCGAGTGCAAAAAATTACTGCTTAGCGGTTTCTGATATATTTAGAATCATGGTTAAGTAATATGCAATTCATGCATTTCTATACTTTTTTTTTCTATCTTCTTTGTACTAAATATAAACTGTCAAACAATTTTTGCATAATTCTAAAGAAAACTGGAAAAGTAAAGAGAAATATATTCTCCAAATATAATATTGTACAACCCTACATTGTATACAAGCTGGATACATGCAGCATACTTGGCACAAGTACACAATTGGCCAAGGTTAAGAACATAATTACTGGCATGTTGCAAGGCTAGCTGACCAGCAACTGTAAAATACTCTGATGACATTTCATAGAATCAAAACACATTAGACTCAGGAAGGTAAACAAATATCACCAACCCAGCTTGATATGAACTCTACATAGCAAGTCAGATGCTGTAGCCCTGAAGTGATTTTGAGCTTCCCAGGATACTGCCAAAGAATTTAAAATCTGTAAAACTTCCAAAAAAGTTTCTAATTTCCCAGTTATTTTACTGATTTTAAGAAATTTCAAGGCTCATTTTCATTAGTTCATAGCTGAAGCAACTATGTGGCATAAATGACACAGATTATTCGAAACAATATATAATTTATAACATATGTGGTGTACTTGGTACATTGTGTAACTTTGTACTTAACAAGCAATAATTAAACGTAAGTGACGTTTTACACTAAACACTCATTTAAACTATGGCCTTGAATGTTAGTTACATATAGATATAATGACTTCAGGCCAGCATTTTGACAATTAATTATTAGGTCGTCATGAACTTAATGTCGCTTTTTTTAGATGAAAAACCCAAACAACTTATATATCAAAA